ATCATGATCAATCTTTTACTTGGAATTTTCTACATCAAAACACACCTTTTTTTTTAAATAATAATAATTTTTTTTTGTGAATGTAAGATTTATTCAATGATTTTGCTTAATCTTTTTTAAAATCTATGGAAGTATTCTATGGCTGTTATATATTTAACAATGATGTAAATATTTTATAAAGTAATGTGATATATTATCTTATATAGTATAATTATATAATTTGTCATTTTAAGATACCATATATATTGTATTAGATCATTTGAAATTAAAATTTTTTTGAATAAAATATCAATTGTATAAGGGTTTTTTTTTATAGTAAAATCCAGTGTGTTTAGCCTTTTTGTGTGGCATCCACTAGTTTGGCATTTTTTTGTAGTGACCACTCGCTAGTTTCATAAATACAACCCTAGCCTTGTGTGTTTGCATTTTTTTTTAGTAAACACTCGTTGGTTTTATGAATACAACACTTATCTAGTTATCTTATGTGTTTGGAATTTTTTTTGTAATGAGCAGCTGATTTCAAATATACAGTTCTTGTTGGAATATTTTATTAAATTGAATGAAAGTGGTAGTGTGAGTTGAGAATTTAAAAGGTGAAAGGTTAGTGGACTAATGGAGAAGTTTTAAGAATTAGAAAGTGGAAAAGTGGAAAATAATGGTGGAAATTAAATGTTTTGTCCCATCTTGAGTAGTATAAAATAGGTGTTCTTCCTCTCATTTCAAACACAAAAAATAAAAATAAAAATTGAGAGCTCTTTCAATCTCTTATTTTCTTTCTAGTTTTTAAGGGTTTTTTTTTTTTTTTTTTTTGTTAGAGTTAAGGCTGTATTCAGTTCGTTAGAATAGAAGAGTGGTGTTTTTCTTGCTATTCATCTGTCCCGTCATGCACCAAAAGTTATGGAATTTGCAGCTCCTTTACTTTAAAGTATGGGATTCACTGCTTTCGCTCTTCAAATCTTATGTCGAGAAAGCAATCTCTGTTAACACACTTAAACTTGACTCCCGATTCATACAGCTTCATCGCATTTGGTATATTTACAATAACTCCCTTGGACTTTTTCTCTAATGGGCAGCTTTTCAAAAGTGCAGTTCTACCCAAATCCGTGAAATGTAGAACTTTTATCGTCTCGTCGAGTATGCTCTTGATCGTGTCTTCGTCAAAGAACTTAGAACAAAGATGCTTAAAGGGAGTAGATTCAAGATCAAGGTTGTCGAGAGCTAATTTATATATTTCATCTAAGACATAGTATGGAAGTTGATTTTCGAGTAATTGTATGTCTAGGTATATGTCAGAGTACATTTTTGGTCTATCTAAATAAAAATCACACTCATCCTTATGTTTTCTAATGAAGAGCTCCAACATAAATAAAACATCATATAAAATCATTGTTACAAAATCAAGACTCTAAAGCTTAGAAGACTCGGCATAACAATTACGAATGCCTTGTTCATTGTTCTTTATAAAGGTTAAAATTTCTACTTGTTTTGTAACAGATATTTGTTGAAAAAAACTTGCGATTTAGAGTCATTCAAAAATTCAATCTCAAGAGTTAACCAAATAGATGTAGAGGTTTGACATTTTGACACATAAGTGAACATGCATTCAGAGATTGAGGCCAATAGCTAGGTTACCATAAATTTATCAGTTCTTTTCCAGGAAACATAATTGGGATTAATTTTTTCTTTTGACCTAATTTCTCCTAATTCACTCAACATTTCATGTTCTGATGAAATTAAAGGTGCAGGACAAGGAATAAGACTTATTAGGTGGTCTTCGAGCTCATGAGCTCCCACAGTTGAGAGAATTTGCGATTTCCAGAAGCGGTAATTGCCTCTATAGTTGTCTCTGGTCAACTTTGGAGTGACGACCTAAAGGCTCGATTGAAATGCTGAATTGAAGGAGTTGGATGAGCTCTGAATCATCTTGTTAGAGTTTTTCCAGACGGATTAGAATCTGAGATCGTTGCCATTGACGTGAGTCGAAGGGTCTGATCCCATGTGAACTTTGTGATTTAGGGAGTTAAAAGAGAGGACCGAAAAATAAAAGAAACAAATCTCTAATACCTTGATTGAGAAAAAATTGATTACAAGATATAAAGAGTACTGACTTTATATGTTTTCAGTCAGCTAAACAGTAGTAGCAAAGAGCGTGAAGGAGAAACTAACTTTGTACAAACCATGTAGCTTAAAACGACATGGGTTTAGGTAAATTACAACAGGTCTTAGTGCTTTGATTACTGACATTTCAGTCCAGACACTTTGGTTCACAATGCATGTATCGTGCCTAGTTTATTATTTTTTTAAACCAATGATCACAATAACCTTGGATTCATTTTTCGTGGATCAAAATGATTGTAAGGAATTAAGAACACGAATATATAATGAAAATATTTAATGAAACAAGTGCATTTGAACCTGAATATTTTGGCCGGAAATTAAATATAATTTGCACACAAACTTCAATATAATTTAAAAAAAATAGAGGTGGATCACTCCATGTATAAAATTAGTGTAATTTGAGTTCAACATAACAATTTAATTCAAATATCACTCGACTCACAAAATAGAGCAAACAGTTTGTATTACAATGAGCAGTAAAAGTACAACTGCCGCAATAGTCGCTGTGCCTCTCCAAAGATTGCTGAAATACACACTTTTCAACTTTGCCTTGCTATGGTTCCAAGGATTGCTGTAGTGTGTTTTCAATTCCTTGCAAATGGTGTAGTAACACGATTCTTTTGTATAAATTTCTTCGCAAAGTTTGTTAAACATAGTCGCCACAGAAGCATTATCACCCAACCAGTTCAAAATAATCCCCTTTCCATGAAGCAAATCCACATCTTTTTCGGTTTCAATAAGACGATCCAGTAAATCGACATAATTGCAAATCCAACAGCCTTTCGGATAGTGAACTTGTTCCAAAGCCATTACATTTCTGAGCAGAGATTCCGTACCGTCATGCACCAAAAGTTGTGGTATTTGCAGCTCCTTTACTTTAAAGTATGGGATTCGCTGCTTTTGCTCTTCAAATCTTATGTCGAGTAAGGAATCTCCATCAACACACGTAAACTTGACTCCCGATTCATACAGCTTCACCACATTTGGTAAATTTTCAATAACTCCCCTAGACTTTTTCTTTAATGGGCAGCTTTTCAAAAGTACAATTCTACCCAAATCCGTGAAATGTAGAACTTTTATCGTCTCGTCGGGTATGCTCTGGATTGTCTCTTCGTCAAAGAACTTAGAACAAAGATGTTTAAAGAGAGTAGATTCAAGATCAAGGTTGTTGAGAGCTAATTTATATATTTCATCTAAGACAAAGTATGGAAGTTGATTTTCGAGTAATTGTATGTCTAAGCATATGTCAGAGTACAACTTTGGTCTATCTAAATAAAAATCACGCTCACCCTTATATTTTCTAATGAAGAGCTCCAAGATGAATAAAGCATCATATGAAATCATTGTTACAAAATCAAGACTCTCAAGCTTAGAAGACTCGGCATAACAATTACGAATGCGTTGTTCATTGTTCTTTATAAAGGTTAAAATTTCTACTTGTTTTGTGACAGATATTCGTTGAAAAAAACTTTGTAAATATATTGTTTTTCGCTTTTCCATATCAACTAATTCCTCTTTCCCATGATGAAGAGGGCCTATTGAGATTAATTGAGGAGTGTAAGCTTTTTCATTTACCATGCGAAGGCGCTTAGGAACCCGATAAATACAACACTCAGGAGATGGCTCGGGTTCGAAGTTTTCTCTGATGTTAATTAGCAACCCTTTGCTCAACTTTTCATGATCTTCACCTCTAATATTAATGGAAGAACTCATCCTGAAGCTCATTGTCCTAAATATTATGACAAACACAGAATAGTAACTAACAATAATTAATAATAAGAGAAAGAAAGAAGATGAATAAGTGATGAAGCATATGTGCACCTGAATATTTCGACAGAAAGAGATAGTAGTGGAATCCACAACTCACAGCCGCAGGGATGAATTACTTATGGTGAATCTCTCCCTTCTCTCTTTGTTTATTGATAAAGTGTTTTCTCTTCCACTTCCACTTCCCCTAGCATTTGTATATTATATACACGACCTTGATAATGTGATTCCTTTCCTCTGCATGTTAAAATCCCACAATTACATAATTACAGTCCCAATTACCAAGCTAAGCACATATACCAGATCTTTTGCTTTATCATCTGCTTTATTGCCTATTTAAAAAATGCTAATCCAACGACTTATGATGAAAGCTTGTAAAACACTCAACTGAAAGTTACAAGGGAGTGATTGTAATTCTTTTCTTGCCCATATTACAACCCCACTAGTCAAGTTAAAGAACCTATATACCTCATCTTTTGCTTTTATTGTGAGCTTTAATTCAGCTTCTTTTTGAACTAGAATAGAACAAATTGCAGATATCTTCACTAAGTCCTTGTTGGCAACCTTATTTTCCGACTTTACTTGATAAAATAACTTACTGATTTTCGCCTGCCAGCCAGTACTTGTATCAAAAACTCTGCCATGATCACGAAATTGGGCTTGAAATGAAGCTCTTCCTGAATTTTACAACTGATATCCAAATTAATACCAGGTCTTAGCAGAAAAATCGGCAGAGAAGTTGCCATGAGTTGACGTTAATTAAGCATTATGCTTTTCAATGTGAAACTGTTGAGTCTGTAACATAAAATGAGTCTTGCTATGTAATAGAATCTCATCTAGCTAAATTTGAGATTAGCTACCACAGTCACATATTTTAATGCCCAGACCACCATTGATGTACATTAATATAGTTCATCATCAATGACAAGTGTACCAGCAACAGTGAGAGTGTCAGTCATTTGTTTCATTTTAAGTACATTGAGCAGATGGATTAGAAATTGAAGCAGAGTACTTATCCTCTGATTTGGGCTCTTTGAGTTACGAAGAATTGAAAGTTTCAGAGAGGTTTTGACAAGACATTTTCTTGATGGTGTTTGTTTTCCACGAAAATTAAAGAAAATTATTAGAAATAATGGATATAATACAGTGAGTCATGAGCACTACATAGCAAACATACATTATTAGGCTTACAAAGCTTTAAATAAAAAATTGAAAATACACAAGAAGGGGACAACGATTCTAATACATAGCAACATTACACAGACAAATAATTAAACCTCCCTTCCCTAAAACAAGGAAAAGACAGAAGAAGAATCAACCTGAAAATCATTCAGCTCTGCATCACTAAGAGAACCGTCCCTGTCATGATCACAAAGAATAAAGATACGATTCAAGGCTCTCACACACCGGGGCTTCAAAGCTTGTGTTTCCTGATCAAATAGAGGGCCTGTTGGATGAAGCACTGCTTTTTGCGCATAGTAGAAAACCTCAGGGATCTACAAATTGGTCAAATTTAAACATCAATTTCAGAATATTTATATATCAATTCTAAAACAAATGGCAGGTTAAAATATCACAGATCATCCAACTGACTACAGAATTCATTAGAGTAATAACATATCCTTGTAGCCAGTAGCTTCAACTAGATCAATGATGCAAGAAGGTACATCAATATGCAAAACTCATGACAAAATTAATGGCAAGAGGTGAAACTCAAAGGCCATAAAGTACATATTGAATTGTACAAGAATGCTATAACAGTGCTTAAAAAATCCCACGTGTATTCAACAATACAAACAGATCACTAGAACCAGAACAAAACCATATTATATCAGGTAACCCATGTAATTGTAAAATATCACTACATTAAATCCTATGAAACAACATAAAATAAAGATCAAATGAGGGCCTTGCAACATACCTGAATTTGCTTCAATGCAGAGCACTCAATGCAAGTTTCAATCTCTCGAAACTGTTGCATTATAGGCATCATTACCGTTTCCAGGCTCATTTGATGGCTCTCATCTCTTAAATCAAGCTTACAACCCACCACTATAACTGGCACTTTCACCTGATCATAAGATTACATACCCATTAAAAAAACACATACAAATGCCAAATATAAAATAATTCCCCCAAAACCAAATCCTACTCTATTTACCAACGGGTCAGGACCTTGAAACTTAAATTTTTTAACTTATAATAAGACACAAATTCACAACCATTTATCTATATCACTCAAGGGTTCAGAAAGTCTAAGTTGACAACAATAATTAATAAATATTAGAAGCTTCTTCCTATTTTAAGTTAACATCCCAGTCCAAAACCCTGAACTAAAAAAGAAAATTAGTTTAATATAGCTTCAACAAATTTCTAAGGTAACTTCTTCTCAACTTTTTAGCTTATAAAATGCCTTTTTTAGCAATTAGATTAGAAATTGTGACACTTTGGTAAACCTGAAATTTAAGGAGATTACAGTACGCAGTAGGTTCCCAAAATTTTATTCGGGGCACTGCAAATCAAATGACTCTTTTCATAAGTTATTCAAAGTCTATTGTCTATTGGTTGAAGAATTAAAATACCCCAGGTCACATTTTCAGCAAAGCAACAAAACCAGAAGCAACGCTACAGCAAATTTAAGGAAACAAGAAATTCAAACCTCTAATTGACGAAGTTCTGGAAGCCAAAGTCACTTAATTCTTCAAGGGTCTCAGGCCGATCACACGCATAAGTAAGCACAACTGCATCAGCCCGCCTCAGTTCTTCACTCAGTCTACCTCTATCCTCCGCACTAATTTATTAAACCCCACACGCAGAAACAATTAGAAACATTCCAAATTCAAGCTCAATATTATAATAACAACTGGCACAAACAAGTTCAAATCTTGACCCGTATAAAGAAGAGAGACCTTGAAGAGGTGTCGATAATGGTTATGGGCACGCGGTCGGGGTAGAATTCCTCAGGCAGCCGTGTAGGCGGCAAAACCGGCGGCACATTGGCAGGAAACGAATCGGTGGCGGCAGTTACAATCAAGCTCGATTTTCCGGTACCCTTTCCTCCACAAACCACAATTCTCACGCGGGTTTTACCGCCTGGAGTTGCATTCGTAGCTGAAGCTTAAGCCATCTAACAACTGTAACAAAAAGGAATTGAAAAATAAACAGATTAACAAAGAGATTGATTATGAAATTTTATGGGGTCAAAAGTTGATTGGATGAAAGAAGTTGAAGATCAAATAACTGCAAAAGTGAAGAATTTTTTTTTAAAAACTACAAAACAAAAATCGTGAAAGTTGGTTTAAATTATATGAAGCAACAGAAGCTCAAGCGACTGAAACCAGTAAATTATGAATAAACAAATAAATCAAAAGATTCTATGAAAAAAAATAAGACCAAATTCAAAGGAAAAAATAGAAGTGAACAAATAAGCTGGACTGTTCGGTGGCAAAAGCCTAAAAAACCTAACGTTTAAGAGACAGAAGAGAAGAAAAACCCTAGACGAGAGAGGGTGAGTGAGGGGTTTAGTTTAGAGAAGATTGCGATGGCAAAAGCGCAAATAAACATGACGTGGAGTGGTGGAAAAGCAAGAGTTGTAAAACCTCCTGAAGAGGTGGCGGTCACGCGGCGGCGGTGGCGGTGAGGTTACGAGAGAAAGTCTGTAAAGAAGTTTCGAGGACACAATTATTTTTGAGTGTTTTTTACTTTTAGCTGGTCTTTTTTTTAATGATGAAGTGGCTGGACGGTCCAGATTAAATCAGGATGCCCGTTAGGTGTATGTACTGGAACTAAATAGGATTTATTGGTTGGTAAATATTTTCTGAAATATTAAATGTATTATGGATATCATATTGTAAATTAATTAATTAACTTTTTTAAACTTAATATTTTGTAGGGAGGTGAAAATTTTTCATTATTTTTGTAGAGTTTTTCATTAAGTTTGAAAGGGTGAGGCTATTTATATTGGTTTTAAATAAAAGAATATATTACCAAAATATTTCCATAAATTAGATTTAATATCTATAGGCCCCAGTTAAATTCAATGACGTAGTGCAACAACCCACCCACGGCCTCCCACTTAAATACTTAATTGAGCTTTTTTTCGACTGTTTTTGTAGGGTTTTTAATTAGACTGGTTTTAAGGTGTTTTTAAATTATTACTTGTCAAATTTTTTATGCACTGATTTTGATTGGCTCAAAATCCCCCACCCCCCGCCCCCCCCCCCTAACCACTAGCGGATTTAGAAATTTCTTTCAGGGTAGGCCAAAATAAAAATTTATTATACATTACTATTTTTATCCATTAATATTTTTGTTAGGGTGGGCTAAAATATATAAATTATACATATTAATATTAAAAAAAAAAATTGAGGGTGGGCCAAAATGTGGCTGGATCCGCCACTGCCCCTAACCAATGTAATGTATTTTTGAGGGATTTATAAAACACCCCAAATTAGGATGTTTTGGTTAGTTTTCAAATTTTATTCCAAAAATACCCTATCCAATACAAAACTATCTCATTTATATCCAAAAAAAAAAAAAAAATTTTAAACATATTATGTGCATCTCCAACTATATTAAATATAAAATAATTTTAAGCAATCATAAAAAAAAAAATTTAAAATCTCATTTTTAAATGCTTTCTTGGAGAAGTAGAGCTACAATTTTTCGATCATTCCAGATGTTGTAAAGAATAACGAAGAATGATATGGAGACTTTATCACATTTGAAATTATAAAATACTAATAAGTAGAAGACAAATAAAGAACTCTTACCTTGTAATTAAAAAAATAAAACTCTCAAGTACTGGTTAAAGTTGAGGTATTTTTATGAGCATAAATGTAAATTTATCATTTTAAAAAACTGTCAGAACCGCTGAAAAATAAACTCCCAAACACAGATTGGGTGTTTTAAAAACCGCTACTAAAAACTCCTCAAAACCACTACGGTGGTTTACCCTCAAAACCGCTACAGCAATTTACTCTCATAACCGCTACCATGAATCTCCCAAGCACAACTCAACCACGACCTCCCACTGAAATCCCTGGGGGGAATGATACAGCAATCCATTGCCTTAGCGACCCACTTAAAGCATGGATACTCAGATGGGGAATCAAATCTAAGAACATGCACCTATCTACACTATCTCTTTAATTCATTCTAACCATCCAAGCTACCTACAAATGAATTATCACATCAGATTATATAAATTAATTTATATATATAGTACCACTCTTTTCTTATTATACCAATTTACTATATGAGCGTACATTAAACCCACAACTACACAAAAATTTGATTATATATAGGCAACAAAACTAACGGCACATTGGCTAGAAACAACTCTCTTGTTAATAGGCAAGACTTTAACCATATGTGTAAGTTATCTAGAGATCTTATGTTTGAATCTCACAAAGTGATCACCAACTACATCAATGACTTTCGTGACCTATTAGGCTTGTAAGGTATTCAATAAACATCGATGATGAGTTGAGATACGTGTACACTAACACGGATATCTCGATTATAAAAAAAAAAAAAAAAAAAAAGAGTTAATACTATGCATTTCCTTTGTAAATAAAATGTTTCATCCAAGGAAGAAATTATTTTTAGAAAATTAGAATAAATAGATTACATATAAATCAAACATAGGAGTTAGTGAGGCATGGTACAAGAGGAAATTTCCATTTGAGGGACATACATACAATAGAAGTTGATGGGCACTCAATTCAAGTGTAAATTCCCCTTAGCAAACAAACAATGGTTTGGGTCTCCATTTTTCATCATCGATTGACACCTCTTAACATTCCAAGCAAACCACTACTCAAATGGTCAAATCATGTTCAATCTTTTACTTGGAATTTTCTACATCAAAACACACCTTTTTTTTTTTAATAAAAATAAATTTTTTTGTGAATATAAGATTTATTCAATGATTTTGCTTAATCTTTTTTAAAATCTATGGTTGCTATATATTTAACAATAATATAAATATCTTATAAAATAATGTGATATATTATCTTATATAGTATAATTATATAATTTGTCATTTTAAGATATCATATATATTGTATTAGATAATTTGAAATTAATTTTTTTTTAATAAAATATCAATTGTATAAGAGTTTTTTTATAGTAAAATCCCGTGTGGTTAGCCTTTTTGTGTGGCATCCACTGGTTTAGCATTTTTTTGTAGTGAGCACTTGCTAGTTTCAGAAATACAACCCTAGCCTTGTGTGTTTGCATTTTTTTTATAATAAGCACTCGTTGGTTTCATGAATACAACACTTATCTAGTTATCTTATGTGTTTGGAATTTTTTTTGTAATGAGCACCTGATTTCAAATATACAGTTCTAACCCTTTTATGTTTGGTTCTCTGTATAGTGAGCGCTACATGGTTTTGGAATTATCATCAATTCAACCTTCAAATTTATCAACAGCAATTCAACCTCTATAGAATTATATTAACCTCTCAACATTGTTAACAGATTTTATATGTTTGAATAATTGAATTTGGGTTAATAATGAAAACGTTGTTTCCTTGCAAACTTAAATAAAATAACCTAATGGTTCGTAAAAAAATAGAACTTAGGAGTCGCATTTTAAAAAATAGCGGATACTCACTATAAAAAAGATTAAACACCCGATTTTACCATAACTTTTTTTTAAACCATCGAATGCACACACAAAAAAGCTACACACTCATGTTTTACTATAAAAAAAATTATTAACATTTAAAATTGTAATAATTAATCGAATATATGATTGTTTTAAGTGATCATAATTATTACATTAATCAAATATAATCATTGGTCTCATATAATTATTGGAAGAGATAACTGATGTAACTATTTTATGAAAGCACAATTACCAAAAACTTCCATAGGATTTTTGGAAACCCAAGTTAGACCCTAAATTGGGAAATTCCTATATTAGTACCTACACTAACATTTTATTGAATTCAAAAATATTGAAATTACAAAAATGTCCTTCAATAGTCATTATTACTATACATAGTGCCTTTAATGAAAAAATTGCCCTTTAGTTTCACTTTAAATAAAATCAATACTATAATATAATGTTTGACTCTCAATAACAACGTAACTACTCAGTCGAACTTGATCGATATATGATTGGCTCAACCTTGACTCGATTACAATTGAGTCAAAATCGAGCTTGAGTTTGAGCTATACTCAATTGTAATCGAGACAAATTATTAATTATTTTAATTTATATAAAAAATTAAAATATTATATAATAATCGAGCTAGAGTAAGCTCGCGGGTTGCTTGAGCCGAATATCATCAAATTCAAACTCAACTTAACTCGACACGTAAACTACTCGAGCCGAGCCGAACAACTCAAGAGCAGCTAAACTCGTTTGCGGGCCAAATTATGATGACCGTAGAGTCCAAGAATTATGTGAATCTGTTAAATACAATTCTTTATGTTTTGATGACACAAATATGTATGGATATCATTGGTTGTGGATGAACAAAATTCAAGATAGATATAAGTTGCATGAGTAAGATGGTTCATAGCCCATGGATGATGACAATGCATGATTATCAAAGAAGACACGTGTAGTTGACACGTGTAGTTCACCATATTTTCCCCCTTTTTTTAAATATTAATTTGTTTAAAATGTTTCTTATGCCTATCGACTAGCTTATGACTGCAACTCTATAGAACCTATCGGAGATGATTCACAATTTTTAAAAAATGAGGGAAGACCCTAGGTTCTTAAAATATCAAGGGTCCAAAGAGATTTGTTGAGAATCTTGGGGAGGTAGTTGATAATTGCCTACTAAAATACTTTAAATATTCATATGTTGATATTCATTAATAGTATATCAGATTATCATCGCTTAAACTTTGAACTTAAATACAATCTATATTATAATCCAGTAGATTTTTCTATTCACCTTGAAAGATGAGAAAATATTAAATGCCTCCAGGATTTTACAAAAATGTTACATACCTCCTTAATTTTTTAATTTTATATAATTAGGATATTCAGACTAGTTTGTACGTACCTTAGTTAATCCTGAGGTTCATTGAAGAATGTGATAGATGGCCATTTTGTGTGGCTTGAACAGAAGACCTCTAAGTAACCTATCCAAATGATTAAAATCTTACCTCCTTAAAACCATTATTTACCTCTCGTGATTAGCATTTACCCTCTAAAAGTGTATCAAAAAGGGATTTGATAAGGGGATATATAGGCTCCATTTGGTTGGTTTTTGAGAATACTATTATTAGTATTCCCAAAAAAGTTAAACAGTAAAATGCCCAAAAACTCACAATATTATCCAATATTAATTAACTTTTTTTAAACCCCCTAAATTTGTTAATTTAATTAAATACCCCTAAATATTTTTTTAAATTGCAAAAACACCCCTAAACCCACATTATACTAGATTCTGGCCAACACTGCCATCTAGCCGGTAGTGAGCAGATCTAGTCTTTTTCGACAAGATCTACGCTGACGGCCAGATCTTTGGCCGTAACCAGACGTCAACGACGGCCAACACATGGATGGTCAATGGTCGTCGTTGACCATCAATGACGGCCGTATCTTTGGCCGTCGTTGATGAGTAAATGCAGCCAGATCCATCATGGATCTGGCCGGCAAAGGCCATATCGGCGCACGACCGGCAAGATCTAGCTGGTCATGTGCCGATACGACGACTCCGGCCACCCTCCGGCGGTGGTGGCCGGCAGTGATTATTCAATGGG